ATTATAATAATTTAACAAGTATTCCTAAAAAAATTAGACTTGGACACAAAAGACCCAGTTTGCTTACTAAAACAGTGTGAAAAAAATATGTTCACTTATGGATGGTTAACATAATGTTATACAACATTTTTCTTTCTCTTTTTCTAACAAGCTTTATAACTTTGCTATATAACGTGTTATATTTCACAGTATAGACTCAACAGCTACCTAATTTTGACTTCATGACGTACATACATATACCAAATTATTGTTTGTTTTATATTGAGACCACGTAATACATTCCTCTTTAACGGCTTCCTCCACTCTTCGCGTTTCACATATTACAGGTTTATTTGTAAAGAACAATGTTAAAAATAAGCGAATTTTCTCTAGGCTTCATCGAGATTGAAAAATTCTTTTGTAACGTGATTCTGCACGTTATAAGGAATCAGAAATTAATAGTCATTTATCCGGGAAGAGATTAGAAAATTATAGCGCAGATTGGTGTCTAGTAAAAAACAATAAGAATAATTATAAAAATTGACGTGTAGTGGAAATCGTCAGAAATGAAAAATTCTTTTACAAAACAATAATTATGTCCTAAGGAAGCAAAAACCAATTATTATTTATTCTAGAAGTGACAAAAGTTGTAATAAACTAACATAAGTACAATAAAATAATCGTGATTATGACTTACTTATGTTAGTCGTTACATTTCGGCCTTATTTTCTTCGGATGAAGATCCATCTTTGAAATAATTATTCAAAAAGGTTGCTGATAAATGGAGGAAAATGATTGCTACATGTGAGCAACATTCTATATCGATGCTTCTCTTCTTCTATTCATAGTGTACAAAATAGCAGAATTTTAAACAAAGAAAATTCAAAATATTATAGAAACAGGTTGAATCAAATTAATATGAACACCTCGATTAATAATTACGTACTACAAAAAAAAATTAGATATACTTATTATGTTTGTATATACAGTAATTTTTTGTTCGTTAAAAAACACTTTTATGTTATATAAAAAAGTGAACTTTTCATATTAAAATTAAACAATTTAATTGAAGAAGTTATCGAAACAAATTCTAAAAACAATTATTTTACAATTCTGAAACCATTTTATGAAAGCCTCTTAAGCATTCATTGAATTGTCAATGAATAAGAACCTGTCGTTTTCAGTGTAATTGTCGTTACGGTTTATTGCGATATTTCAAACTTTTAATAAAATTTTAACTCACACACAGTGGAGCCTCGGTTATCCCAGTCCCGTTTAACCGAGGTTCCGTATTATCCGAGGTGCTTCGAACTTAAATAAAATAAAAAAATTACAAATTTTTTTAGGATCGATGGGTATTCATGAATCGTGCAATAAAGTCATAAAAATCATAAAAATATTTTGATAATGTAATATCATACATGCGTTTAAGTTTAATTTACTATTTCATAAATAAATAGTTAATGAAACTTATATACATATATAATATTAATATTA